ATGACTAAGGTGCAAAAAGTGGGCGAGCAGTTGAGGCATGGGCACCCCACCGCTGGCAGACGGCAGAGCCCCACCTGCCACAACCCACCTCCTCAGCCCTAGTGTCATGTGGTGTCTAACATGCAAGTAAAAATTGAAGGACATTTTCTCTGCGCACCTCCCCACCGCCCCTCAAGGCCCTAGTGTTGTGTGAAATGTGGTGTTGGGCCCAGGGGAGCAATAAGGGCGTGCCAGGAGTGCCCCCCCAGATCCCTGACTGGCCCCGATTAGTCCCCATCCCCGACCCCACACAGCCGGCAGGGACAGCCAACCGAGGTGTTCAGGGGCGCTACAGGCAGCCCGGCAGCAGGGAACCCCCCAGGCGCAGACCGGGAGAGACCCACCCCACCACACCCAATGAGACCCCAACTAGCAGCCAAGGACGGGACAACCCCAGACCCCCCGGCAAACAGGGAGCCGGTCCAGCCAGGCGGGGTGACCCCCGCCCCCCGGCCACCCCAGGCCCCCCCCCAGGCGAGGCAGAGGCTCCCCCCACCGCACCCCCCAAACCACCCCACAGCGTCCGAGGGCCCCGCGCCGGAATCGCCAACGGCAGACAACGACCCACCCCCACCAGGCAACGGGCCCGGGCAGACCAGGCCCCCCAGCATGCGCCCGTTAATTTTGACAGCCCTAAAAAAAACATAAACGTACTTGTGAAATGCAACACAACACTAAGTAGAAATATGGTACAGTAGAAAGTATATTTGGTAATATTTGTTGTAAGATGTAGTAGAATAAAAGTCAAAAGCTACCTCTACTTCAGTACAGATATTTGGAAAACGTACTTAAGTACAGTAGCCTAAATGTACTTCGTTACTTTCCAGCACTGAATACGGCAGGCATTATCATGGACACATGACCTTGGTGTGAATGTTTCAAACATATTTTTTTAAATAAATGCTCATTTTCATAATTATGATTAATGTTTTCCTGGGGTTATACCATTTGACATGTATACCATAGCATACCTGACCATACCTTAAAAATGTCAATTTATCTGATATTTTAAAGAGACAGTCCTGCTAACCTTGGCATGCAGGAGTAGTGTCATCAGCGATCTCTGTGATGTTATTTCCTTACACATGGATTTCTTGTAGAATATGAACAAAATGGCTCCCAGAATATGAAATGATGAAAGTTGAACTGACTAACGTGAATATCCATTACTTATATTTTCTATTCTAGTGTAAGAATTAGCTAAACTATTTGCTAGGGTATTTTATTGAGAATTTCACGTTTTTAAAGCAAGTTTAATGATTTGGTACACAGTTTTTACGGTTACAATACGTTGACATATTACCCCAAAATAATCTGTCAAAAAATTCATAAAAACCAGAAATTAGACTGTCTTCAAAAAACAATGTATGCAAGCAATCTCTAAGTTTGTTTTCCAGTGCTCAAGCTTTTCAATTGAACTAAAGCATATGGACACAAAAATTAGCGTCACATCATACATACACTACTCACAATAAGTTAGGGATATTGTAATGACATGAGTGCTTTTCCAATTTGCTCTGAATGTTAATGAAATATGTAAAAGTTCCCTTTGATATTACTAATAATGTATGAGAAGAAACACCATTGTCATTAGCTTAATATTTATTACCCCAAAAATTTAGACAATAACAGGGACAGTCCCAAATAACAAAAACTGACATGTCAGT